TACAAGTGTGCATTTCATCCCCATTACCCCACCATTTCTCCTCTTCATTAAACCCTTTTTCTTCCCATAAGCTGGTAACCCTTTTATAGGCTGGGATCACATGCTGGGCTAAGTACCTACCACAATGTCATGGTCAAAATATGATGTTTAATTCCAGATGATCCTGTATTTTTCTCATGGTAGGAAAGGAAATGTTGAAATTTTACTACACGAATCTCTTTGTTGCTTTGCTTTTCACTGGAAACCATCAGAAACCTATTTCTTTTATGAAAGAGATTGTGTCAGAATTGTCTGTTAATAAGGTGTCACCCTCCCTCCATTTGGCCTGAATTAGGGTGAATTCCAAGGCCTGAAAGTTTAATGCCAAGAGGCATAAAAGAGACATACAAATGATATCATTTTGTGGACAGGACCTGAAGCAGATCAGGAAGCATATATAGTAAATGAAGTTAAGCAAAGGCTGCTTTTCCTTCTTGTGTTGTCTTTACATTCATCAGAGGCCAGGTAATTCAGAACTCAGTTCTTATGTAATAGCGGCCAACAATAGCCCAGAGAGGTTATTACATAGAGATGGGTAGCTGACACCCCCCTTTGTTTTCTTCTGAAAGGTATAACCACTTTTCTAAAGGCTACAGCATTTTCCACAAAATTGTTTTAATTTGTGCCACGGGTTGAACACTTACTGTGTTCCAGGCCCAGCTAAGTGTTGGTGACCAGCCATGGACAGTGGGTCATGGTCCCTTACTCCATAGTGTGTGAGTCCTAACTGGGCCAAATGTAGAAAAATGTAGAGTTGTGTGCTTTTTTAAAATATATTTTTATTGATTTCAGAGAGGAAGGGAGAGGCAGAGAGAGAGAGAGAAACATCAATGATGAAAGAAAATCATTGATTGGATGTCTCCTGCACGCCCCCTACTGGGGATCAAGCCCTCAACCCAGGTATGTGCCCTTGACTGGAATCAAAGCTGATGCTCTGTCTACTGAGTCAAGCCAGCTGGGCAAGTTTTTGTTTTGTTTTTCTTAATCAATTATGAAGTTATCTAGTATTAGTGTCTCAAAGCAATGGCAAGTCATGAAAATCCCCATGAGTAGGTTAGAATGAGTTTAATAAATGACACCTCCCATTTTTTAGCATATCCCTAAACATGTCCTGCCTCATTGACAGTTAAAGAAGCCTCATGTGTGCCACGGAGCTTTCTCTCCCTGATAGCAGGCAGGTGCTGCGGCCAGCCCCTTGTTAAACATACATTGCCTTGGAAATGTACCTTGTGCCTGTCACCATAGCAACACCCTGAGAATGACCTCAGCAGCCACTCAAAATCATTTCTACAAAACAAATTATAGCTATAATTATCTTTCTGAATTTACTCTGCACTATAAATTTGCTCAGACCTTGGTGTTTCTTTGTAAAAGGTTAAATGAATGGAATAATTCAGTGGGAACCCATCCACCCAATAGTCACCAACAGTTTTCCATGGAAAGCACAATTCGGTTAAGAGATTATTCCATTGCCTTTTCTCACAATGTGACCAGAATCAACAGATGAGGATACTCTGGTTTTACGGGGCAGAGCTCCATTTGTAAGGGAATAGAGTTGCCTTCTTCCCTACGCAGACGTAAACTGCATGGAGTGCTCGGGTCCCTCTCTCCATGTTCTAAGCCAGAGGGAGGGACACAGGGGCTGGGACTTACACAGGCAGAAGCTCTCTTTGGCAGTGAAAATGCTGGTCTTTGTTGCCTGCAGGCTTAACCTGCTTCACAAATTATCTGCAACATGTCTTCAATGCTGGTGCAGACCTTCCCCTAGGAGAAAATAGTATGTTTATTTTGGTTGGAGGGTTTGTTGTTTTGTTTTGTTATTTTGTTTTGCTTGCCTTGTTTTGGGAGGTTTGGGTTTGGTTTGGTTTTGGTTTTAGATAATGTGTGTTAAAACTAGCCGGCCTTGATATAGTTCCTTTCCATTTTTGTAGTTAAACTAGAATAACTTTTTTACTCCAAGTGAAGTGAGCCTTTCTGTCCACCATCCCACTGAGGCAAAGCAAAAAGAATATCAGGCAAGAACTGTGGCTTATTTCCAAGGGAATCGGAAATGCATGGAACATCGTTAATGGCCGTTTCTGTGCCATAAAATGTGTTCCTATCTGGGCAAGGAACAGATGGAACAGAGCCTGGCAGGCAGCAAGCACTCAGTAGTTCATTGTGGTTATCCTGTCGTTACTCTCCATTAACTATACCGGCATTGAAAAGAAGCATAAGAAAGGTGAAGAGGAAAAAAATATTATTGTAAGAACAAGTTGTTTTAGATACTCAGCTGATGTCTCTGTAATGCCCAATTCACAGAGAGATACCACTGACAGTATTTTTAGGGCAGCCTCTACATCCTTGTAAGTGGTTTTTCTATCACAGGTGTATGCCCCCATTTTATCTTACCTGAACATGTTTTTCAGGGAGCTCAGTTCACTCCTCTAAATTGTAGAGAGACCAGCCGGGCTCCTACTGTGCAGAGTGGCAGGTATTTTCCCATTGCACGTGCTGGTTCTTTAAATTCTTCTGTGCAAATAATGTGTTTAAACATGGAATGGTTCATCTTTCAGAACAGAGAGCCAAGAATTCTTCTTCACCACAGGAACTCGACAGCACTTTATGTGCAAGAATTAGCCACCCTCTGTTCTGACCTCTGCTTATTGGGTTAAGTGAGTAGAAATGGTTTATTGGGCAGCATATTTCTGAGCAAGGTTGCCAATGTAAGTGAGAAGTTCTCTGATTTCTCTAAATTAAAATTCTGTATAAAGAAGTTAAACAAATGTTGATCTTGTAGGTTTCAAAATGTACATTCATTTCAAGTTTTTTCAAATCAAGGAGCTGATAAGTCAGGAAAATCCATCTACAATACATAGAGTAGCCAGTTGGTTTTGCATTAATGTGTGGTGAGCTAGTTTATCTACAGAATGAGATACAGAACAACTCTTAGAACATGGGTTTGTTAACCCCATCAGATGATTCCAAGACTGTGCATAGAGACGGACTCAAACTTTTGGCCCAGTACACGTTTATATTTCCTTCCTGCCTCCCATGCCCATGTTCTTCCAGCCTCTCCCCCTTTTTGTCCTCCAGCCAATTTTTTTTTTTATAAAACAATTAAAGATACCTGGCTGGTTCTGATCAGTCTGTAGAGAGTTAATTGCCAGCTAGAGAATCATTGATGTTTTCGGATAAGGCCACCAAAATTATAATTAGTTGCTTTGGTGAAGGAATTCCTAGGCTGACACATTTTTGTCTTAAGGATTGATAGACCTCTAAAAAGGCGGTGATTTTATTTCTTTGTTAAAGTAAGACTTAACTCCACTATTTTACGACTCCATGAATCTTAGAGACTTAATATAACTTTTTTTCAACACCTAATTTCATATTTAATAATATCATTGAGATGGAAACACCATTAGTATGAATGGTATTTAAATAGTGCTGAAAGGAAACCCATCCAACCATTCAAACAAAAAATACTAATTAAGTGCTATTTGCCAGGCACTCTTTAGGTACTAAGGCAGGAATAACAATGGATTGGACAACCTCCTTACGTCAGATCAACAGAGTGTTTGTGCTCACTGAACTATAACATGCTCTGCACCAGACAGTCCCTGTCGTACATCTCATATCTCACTGCCTCTTACTTGTGGGCATGAAGATATTGCAGCTCTAGTCCCTTTCAGTTCCATCTTTTCTTTAAGTCTTAGTCACAGTTCATTACTTTGTGTCTACACTTAGTAATTGTGTTCTGAAACCATATCCATATTGTGACTCTTTGAAGTCATGAAGCTGCCACACAGAACAGTCACGTTCACCTGTCATCAATTATATCAAATTATGTCATTTTCAAGGTTGGAGATTAATTTTTGCACTTTGAGAGAATGAAAAGTGAACGGAATATAATATTTTTTAAATGCCAAAGTTATACTGATGGAAAACATAGATGTTGCTAGGCTTTAGGGTTGGGATGGGAGCACAGGGCAGTTTCTTTGTGGTAACAGAACAATTTTGTATCCTGATTGTGGTGGTGACTGCACGAATCTCTACATGTGATAAAATTTCATGCAACTATATGTCCCCCAAAATGTGTGTGTGTGTGTGTGTATAAAACTGGTGAAATCTAAACAAGGTCTGTAGTATATATAGCTAATAGTACTGTATCAATTCAGTTTCCTAGTTTTGATAATGTATTATGGTTACTAAGTTTTTACCATTGGGGGGAGTTAGGGATTTCTCTGTAATATTTTTGCAATGTCTTATGAGTCTAAAATTATTTCAAAAATATATGGGGTTTTTTTCCTCCAAAAGGAATAGAAAAATATAAGCTGATAAATTTAAAGTTTAGGTTTGGTGACACTAAACACTGGGAATACCTGACCTTAGGCAGTGTTACCTCAATAACTAGAAACCTCGTGGCTTTACTTTAATCACGAATGATTTAGACTTTGGACAGAAGTTTGGATAAGGTATTTTGTGTCCTCTTTTAAGGCATTCAGGAAATACATTCCGGGAAGAACCTCTCATGTTCTGCAAAAGTAAAAAAAAAAAAAAAAAAGCATTCTGACCTTAAATGTAACTCTTATCTGTTTATTTATACAAACATCATTTGTATAAATAATTTTAAAGCTATTTGCTTTAAACTCCTGTTTTACCCACCAAACCTGCTAAACAAGTAGCGAATAGGAGACTCATTTATTTTCTTCTCTCCCTTTACTCTTGGTTGAGTTCTAATTCATTGTAAGAGATGCAAAGAGCAATACAGTGAACCAGTTAATCCCTAGAGAGGTAATCTTGCTCTGACCAATGGAAGGTTGAGTTTAATCTTTTGAGCTCCCTAATGCTCTACCACTTCCTGAGATCTTTCTTTCTATTCTCCACTTCGCTCTTATGACTCATTTTTGCCCTTCTCTTTCCATAGGCAGGTGTGGTGTGATGGCGTCACTGACGTTCTCATTGTGTCTTCCCTCCTCTAGCTATCTTAATGACTTGGACCGTGTTGCCGACCCTGCCTACCTGCCTACGCAACAAGATGTGCTTAGAGTTCGAGTCCCCACCACAGGGATCATCGAATACCCCTTTGACTTACAAAGTGTCATTTTCAGGTAGTTACTGAGTCCATACAACCCACTTCTGAACTGTTACGCTTTGACTACACGTGGTGAATGCTGTAAATATTGAAATCATATGTATGTTTTAAAACAGTATCACCTTTGTACCAATTATCATTAGATCCACAAAATGAAACCATGTGTCCCTGAAAGAGGAAGCAGAGGAAAGATATGTAGGCAGGTTTCTCATTTCAGATTAAATTATCAGGAAATCAATGAATGAAATCTTGTTTTGCTGAAGTTGAACAAAATCAGTTCATCAAACATTAGTCCTGATTATAATTTTTGGGGGGGAATTCATTTAATCTACAAGGACAATGGATGTATTTTTAGATTTGTATAAGATCTGAATAATCTTATGACCCCAAAGTAATAGAACTTACATGTTGGCAGAAGCCCTTTCAGGTCATTGTTTCCTCCAAGCCCCCTGGTGCCAATGCAGAGTTCTTCAGCAGCAATAAAACACTGGGATGTTTTATATTCCTAAGATACGTGGCTTGAAAATTTTCAAACACATGATTTTGAATATGGATTGAGTAACCTAGTCTAAATTTACGTAAGAAAATAAAGTGAAAATTTATTACTTCCTCCTTCACAGCTGCTGTTCTGAGTAATACTTTAGCATAGGTATTATCTTTTTTTAAGATGAGGAAAAAAAGTAAACAATACTGATTACTTTCACTCAATCTCTTACTCCACCATCACTCAGTTGTACTGTTAGTTAGAATACAAACCACAGGGGGAGAAATGAAGGCGTGTTGAGTGTCTCTTTGAGTGTAGAGTGTTGAGTTCCTTGTCACAGCCCATCCCATTGAGGAAAACGGCACGCAATGGAGGGCTGTGAAGTCGAAGTGTGTGATTCTTGCTGTGTAACTCTACCACAGACTCTAGTGAGCAGGCCCTCCACCAGTCCCTGCCAAAGCCCTGTGTGTTTTTTTCATATCAGTCTCTGCACCTGTGGTTGCATCTAGCTCCCATACTCTGCTCTAGTAGACAGATCCCAAAGTGGGAGACATGTTGGAAATGATTCTGAGCCTCAGTTTTTTTTCATCTATATAACAATTGCATTAAATATCACCAAGGTTCCTTATAGCTTCAACATGTGGATTACTTAAATTTTTGAGTTGTGTTTGTATTTAGCTGAAGCATCAAACACAACCTATTTTGATTTGTATAGTATCTTCCATCTTCTCAATGTATTTGCAATTATTTTTAGCATCTTTGAGAAATATATGAGGATCTTCATTCTCATTTTATAGGAAGATAAACTGAAGTCAATATTTGCCATTAGAGCTTAATACAAATAAAACTTATTTTATATATTCCATAGCTTGATTAAATAAAACCATTTTGCTTGGCTTGGCTCAGGATTATTTTTTACAAGGTTATAATTTTCATACACATCTGGTAACATTCTGCTAACCACAATGATTTATTGCTCAGAATGGCTTGATTTTGGTTGTTAGGTAACAAAAAATCAGTAGTAGCTGTTCAATAAGTATCAACTGAATTGAGTTGGATGACTATTCTCTTTAGAGAGTATGTTTCCTAAGTTTTGTAAGTAAAACTATTTTATATTGATTTTTTTCTTTATATGCTATTAATATGAATATTGTTAACCTTGCAGAATGGTCGATGTAGGGGGCCAAAGGTCAGAGAGAAGAAAATGGATACACTGCTTTGAAAATGTCACCTCTATCATGTTTCTAGTAGCGCTTAGTGAATATGATCAAGTTCTCGTGGAATCCGACAATGAGGTGAGTGCCCGTGCACAGGCAGTGGGTGGTCATTTTATTATTTGATGCAAATAAATGATAGGATGTTGGGCGTGGGGCATGGAGTAAACTGACTTCATTGCTTTCTTGACTATTGACTTGGGGATTTTAAAAATAAAATGGTACACGGTACACTCAGAAAGGTAAGCTCTTTTGTCCGATGTTTGAGCAGGTCTGTGTGTTCAGCTCTCATTAGATGCAATTTTATACTTTTCACACTATGCAGAGGCTCTGAAAATGAAAATAACACAGAAATCTTAGGCTAGTCATCAGATTGTATTGTAGCCTTCTCCCTGCAGGCTAGAGTCGGGAGTGTGGGAGTGAGTCAGCCTGTTTGGTTTTGTTTTCATTTTGTCTAAATCATTGTTTGTGGTGGGTGGGTCCCAAAGAGTACTCAAAGCTCAAAACCCCTCTTGGCAAGTGTGAGTGGCTTTGCAGCTGGTCTCTAAATCAGTCCCTTATGGAGCCAAGAGATGTCTTGGTGATGTGGCCTTTCTGCTCTTAGAGCATAATTTTGTCTCTTCCATGCAGGGAGTGATTGAAAAAGTGCCCTTGGTATGCCTGTCTGGAGATATATGATTCAGTAATCTAAGTTCCTCCTCATTACATGAAAATGTAACAGGTTATAAATATGGATTTTGAGGATATCAAAGGTTTGATGATGAGTCAGAGTTGAGTATAGAATATAATTAAAGGGCATAGAAAACTGACTTTGAGCTGGAATTCAGTATGTGTGTTGGAGGAATGGAGAAGATGCCATTGGAAGACCCTGCTAGAGGCAAAGACTGCAGACTTACACACCAATAGTAAGTATTAAATATACTTGTAATAGAGTAGCAAGTAAAGTGAAGAAAGTGAGGTATCTCCAATAGCTGATTAAAATAAGGTCTGGCATATTAAAATATACTTTTAATGTTGTACATCTGTTAGGTATATAAGAATCTGGCTTCGTGGTCCTTTTAAGTATTTTATTTTTCTGTAAGTGCTAATATCTTCATTAATAGACATATCTAATCCTCCATAGCATTTCTTTTGTATGTATTGATAAAGAATTCATGAACAATTATTTCATATAGAGCTGAGAGTTACCTATTCATGCATTTCAGAATCTTTCCTGGGTGCAAGTATATGGGCCTTTGAATCAATCAGAACTTATTTTTAAGAATAAAGTTTGTTAGACGTTTGCCTTCTGTAGCTATAATGCAGAGTATCTGAAAATGTTATCAACATTTAAGTTCATCAATTGTGGTCAGAATTTTAGCTATAATATCTCTATACAATAGTACCCCTCCCTTATCCGAGGTTTTGCTTTCTGTGATTTCAGTTCCTTGCAGTTAGTTGTGATTCAAAGATATCAAATAGAAAACTCAGAAATAACTCAGTAAACAATTTATAAGTTATTAATCGTGCACCATTCTGAGTGGCTTGATGAAATCTTGCACTGTCCCCACCCAGAATATGACTCGCCTTTTTGTCCAGTATATCCGTGCTATAGATGTTCCCCACCCCTTAGTCACCCAGTTGTCAAACTGACTATCAAAGTATTGCAGTATTTGTGTTGAAGTAACCCCTGTTTTGCTTAATAATGACCCCAAAGTACAAGAGGAGTGATGCGGGTAGTTCATATATGCCAGAGAGAAGCAATACAGTCTTTTTTATAAGTGAAAAGATGAAAGTTTCCTACTTAATCAGTTTCCACAGTCTCATGACTTTTATTACAGTCCTAGAAGCCCAGTGCACAAAATTTGTGCATGGGTAGGGTCCCTTGCGGCTGCTAGCCAGGAGCGCCTTCCTTCCCCCAGCCACCTGCTGCCACTGGCCCCAGCCCCTGGTTGAACTCCCAGTTGAAGGGACAATTTGCTTATTAGGCTTTTATTATATAGGATTGTTATAATTTTTCTATTTTATTTTTGGTTATTAATTTCTTACTATGCCTAATTTATAAATTAAAATTTATCTTAGTATTATGTACAGGGAAAAAACATAGTGTATAAGGGTTTGTAACTATCCAGAGTTTCAGACATCCACCTTGGAACATGTTTCCTGCAAATGGAGCGGTGGCAGACATGACTACTTGTATGCATTTCTATCTTTATCTATATTGGTGTTGCTTTATTGTATCATAATTATTGGTTGTAGTATTTTGAACATACTGCATATTTCAGAAGCTGACATATGACAACATTTCTGATGTCTTTAAATGTTGAATCAAGATAAAAAATATTTTGAGGGCTTGTTACTAAGTGCTGGGTCCTAGGAAATCTAAAGAGATACCAAAATGAAGAAAGAAAAAGTCAACTTTGTCCTAAAAGACCTCGTAAATGAGATAATGCTTTTATAAGATGTACAAAACATACATTATTTTATTTCTTAGTATGTCACTTGTTTACATAATAACTAGAGGAAAATTTTGTTTATCAATACACATTATCCTATCTAATAAAAGAGTAATATTCAAATTGCCTGTACCTCCGGTACACCCACAAGCCATGCCCACCAACCAATCAGGAGAGAGTATGCAAATTAACCCAGCCCAAATGGCTGTGGCCATGGAGTGAACAGGAGACTTGGGTTTCCCCAGCAATGGAGGAAGCCAAACTTCCTACATACCCTAGCTGGCCCAGGCTCTACTTGAGGCTACAAAGTTTCAATTATAGAAGATAAATAAATTCCAACAAAAATGGCTGCGGCCAAGGAGCAAACAGGAGTCTTGGGTTTCCCCGGCAATGGAGGAAGGCAAATTTCCTGCACACCCTGGCTGGCCCAGGCCTCCACTCAAGGCTACAAAGTTTCAATTATAGAAGATAAATAAATCCCAGATACCAGGGCCTCCGCTTGGATTGCCGGGGGCATGGCTGGCCTGCAAACCACCAAAGGCCCCCTCGCCCAGGCCACCCCACGCCCCAAGGGAATCCCCACTCTGATCGAGGACACCCCTTCAGGGCAACTCCAGCTGGCCCCCACCAGTGCATTAGGCCTCTGTCCTAATAAAAGAGTAATATGCAGCCGAAACCGGTTTGGCTCAGCGGTAGAGCGTCGGTCTGCGGACTGAAAGGTCCCAGGTTCGATTCCGGTCAAGGGCATGTACATTGGTTGCAAGCACATCCCCGGTAGGAGGTGTGCAAGAGGCAGCTGGTTGATGTTTCTATCTCATGGACGTTTCTAGCTCTATCTCTCTCCCTTCCTCTTCGTAAAAAATCAATAAAATATATTTTTTAAAAATAAAATAAAAGAGTAATATGCAAATTGACCATCGCTCCAACACACAAAATGGCTGCCTCCATGTGAACACAAGATGGGCCAGCTTTCTCTCCCCTCTTTCCCAGCCTCTTCCAGAAATTAGAGACAAACTCAGAGGAAAAGTGAGAGGAGCTATTGATGTGGCAAGGAGCATGGAAATAGAATGAAAATACCGCCCTTTGAAGAAGGGGTTGAGATAGCTCTCCTCTGCCCCTAAATTCTTAATTATTATTCTCACAGGTCACAGTAGACTTCACTGGGAACTCAGAGTTCCAGTATTGCTAATCGGATTTTGAACTATCTTAAAACAAGTAGTCTAAATTATGCATTTCCCTTGGATATTTTGCCTCTACTTTGGTTTCAGAATGAAGCCATTTTGAAGTCATTCAGCTGTGGCCAAAGTTTGAACATTTTCTTTAAACGTGTGAAACATGTACTTTGTTCTGCTCTAAAAACTCCAAGTGAGCTCTGGGAATTTTTTTTTTTCCACATAAAATTCAGCTTTGAAGGTAAAACTGACTAGAAATTGAGGAGTAAAAGAAATTTGAACTCTAAAGGAAACCTTTAAGTGTCGTTAAAAGTAAGAGCTTAGGTTAAACTCTCCAGTCTCAATGAGACTGATTCTAACCCTCCTTTTTATTGACTCTTATTTAGATTATGAAATCAGAAACTACATCTTGCTTCTCAGCCTTTGGTATACTTGTCTCAGATTTGTGGCCTGATTAGCAAAGATATTCCTGAAAGACGCCCTACTTTTCTACATGTAACCCCTTTTCCATTTCCTCATTCCTTTGCTCATTTAGCCACTAGTTCCTGTTTGAAACTCCTTTCCTTGCCCTTTTCATTACTCACTGTTTCTCTTTCCTCCATATTTCACTCTTTCTCAATTTCTTTATTTGTATTGAAAGAAGCTAGAAGGAAGTTTTCTGATCCCCATTTATGAGTCTAAACTGGAGACAGTGCTGGTAAGGGGGTGGGGGAGCAGGCACACACACGGACACTTTTTGTGTGGATGTGTATTGGAAATCTTTTAAAGATTTTACCTTGAACCCATATTAATATAATCTGTGCAGTTCTTTTTTTTAAAAGATGAATTATAGCTTGGCTGGTGTGGCTCAGTGATTGAGTGTTGACCATATCCAAGAGGTCACGGCTGGATGGATGAAAGGACAGTAAGGGATGGGGGGTGAGATTAAGAAGTGAAATACAAGTAACACAACCAGGTATCTTTCCTGTGGTAGTCCAAAATTTAGTCAGTGTCTCTTAGCATCCAATAAAAGGAGATAATTGTGCTCTGTTAAAAGATTCACTGTATTTTTTTTTAAAAGTCAGCTTCTCCTGGTGCTGAGCTTGAATGACTCCTGCAACTTCATTAAGAGCTGCTGTTAAAAATTATATTTATGACATAAAATTATATCCATGACAGTAATACTCCAGGAAACCAAGTATTAGAATTCATAAGGACTGTGTAAGCTTCCCCCAGTTTAAGTTGGTGCTGTAATATCAGTATTTGTCTTGGGCCAATACTGTGTGGCCTAACCACACCACCTGATGTAAGAATAAAACTGAGAATAGCTAGGGAAGTGGATTTTGTTTACTTCTGATTTTTAAAAAATATATATTTTATTATTGATTTCACAGAGGTAGGGAGAGGAAGAGAGAGAGAGAAACATCAATGATGAGAAAGAATCATTGAATAGCTGCTTCTTGTATGCCCCACTCTGGGGATCGAGCCCACAACC